CTGACCGCACGGCCCCGTGCCCCCAGGCCGACCCGCCCGGCCCCACGGCAACCCGGGAGAAGCACACAGCTTCTGGAGCTGCACCATCCTTCCCCAATCACTGCCGACAACAGGAGCTGCAGGAACAGAGCAGAACGAAGAACGTGCTGCTCCAGCTGTGGGCCCAGCAGAGACACTCGATGGTCAGAAGGTTGCTGAGGGGTATGGGCTGTATGGAATGCGCCACGCGCAGGGGAAGGCAAACTCTGCCATGAGAGGAGGGTGTTGCACAACGAGGGCACGGATGAGGTGAGATGCCTTCCATGACACGTGGGTGCCGAAGAGGAACCAACCTGAGAGGAATCTAGATCAGGAAACATAGGCTCAGGAATCATATAATTGGTTGGAGGAGGCTCATTTAACTGCACCTGATTTAACGTTTGGTTCAAGTCCTCTGCCTTCCAGGCCCCTTCTTTTGCTCGCTGAAGTTTGTAAAATGGCAGCCCTAGGTTCCCCAAGAGAAGAAAAAGAAAACATTTAAGACCAAAATAAACCTAACGAGTCAGAGACTCAACACCAATTATATTTTAAAACATTAAAAAGGATCTAACAAGAAAGCTAGCTATGAAAGGATTTTGTTCAGTGGTCATCAACATTTTAAAGTTTCTGATACAAGAGGACTTACCATCCTCTTGAGCAACTGCCTTTTACTGGGTTTCTTGTTGCCACAAGAGTAACCAACGAGAACCACACAAGCAACTCTGTCAGCAGACATTGCACGGGGTCCAAAGCCAACGTGTTCCTAGCAGCTGTGGCTTCACAGAGCTCCCAGGAGCGAGCTACAGAGATCTGCCACGCTCCTGGGGCCCCAGAAATCTCTCTAAACTCTGGAGGCAAACCAACCGCTCTAATGAAGTGTGGAAAGGGTGGAATGTGGGCTGCCAGCTCAGAGATCAGCTGGTTGTTTTCAAAATGAGACTTACTTGGAGCCTTCCCAGCAGACAGCGTGCTGCTTTCCTCCTCCTGAAGATTCCAGGTAACTCTCTTCACTGGTGCTTTTGATTTCAGTGCAGGACCCTGAGCGACCACCTCCAGTTCAGGCTTACTGAAACTGTTCTCACTTGACACAAGGCACTCATCTTTAACCTCCTTCACACCGTCGGCTGCTTTGCTTTTGGAGGAGCTCTGAATGGGTGCAGCCTCCACGGGAGCATGAATGATAACTTCCTTCTTTGGAGCTGCTTCCATCAGAGATGGACATAACGTGGTGTTTTCTATTTTCACCGTAATCTCCAGGTTTGTATTGCTACAGCTGCCAAGCACTCCTGGGTCACTGCTGCTCAGTAACTCTGCTTCAGTAAGAGAATCCACGCTGCCAACTGGAGCACAAACGTCTGTGATCTCTGGCACTGGGAATGCAGTTTCACTGGCAGCTTCCTGAAAGATGGGTTCTACTTTTATAGTTTCTTGGGCCTCTCTCAGTGGAACTGGGGTCTCAGCCTGTATTTCCTCCTGCTTGACATTTGGTTGGATGGTTATGGAAAGCTCTTCGAGTACTAGCTCCTGCTTTGGCTCTGGTCTGAAGGAAGGGGGTTGCTCCAGACACCTGGACACATTTTCAGCTGGAGGCTTTTGATCCTTTTCTGGAGGAGGAGGAAGAGAGGTCTCTTTTGATCTGCGTTTCCTCTCTTTGGAACGCGATCTCGACCGCGGTCTCTTTTCCTTTGACTTGCTGCTTTTGTGCTCCCGAGATCGAGATGCAGACCGAGACCTGGACCTCCACTTTCTCCTCTCCCGAGACCTGGATCTCGATCTCTTTCTGTCCCTTGACCTCAGGCTGCTGTCCTTATCATACTTCTCGTAGCTCTTCTCCCTCCTGTGCTTCCTCCTCTTCGTCCTCTCGGGGCTGTTGGACCGGGAGCGGTCCCTGCGCCTGGATCTCGAGCGGGACCGTCTTTTCTTCTTCCTGTTTTCATAAAACTCAGAAGTGCTCCCAGGACTACCTGAACGTGACCTGGATTTCCTCCTCTCCCTGGACGAAGACGTTTTTGTCTTTTTATCCTTGTTTTTATCCTTCATTTTCTTTTTTTTAGCCCGCTCATGACTGCTGGAGCGGTCGGTAGAAGACCTCCTGCTCTTGGGCTTCAAGGTGTGTGTTTTGCTGTGCTCCTCTCCACCCGACCAGGAGGTAGACCTGGAGCTCCTGTCCCTTGAGCGTGCTCTGTCTCTGGACCCTGATCGGGATCTCTTACGCTCTTTGACAAGTGCCTTTTTCCTCTTCATCTTCTTCTTGCTTCGGGAGCTGGAGTTGGAGCAGGACCTGGAACGTGATCGCCTCTCTGTCTGTTCAACCTTTGGGCCTTTCTGCTGCCCATCGTTCTTTGAGGGACTATCTGGTTCCAGCTTCACGTTAATAGTGCTAGGCCTAATCAATTCTTCAGCATTGAAGAACACATTAGGGCCCTCTCTGCTTTCCTCCTTTAGACACTCTGCATTAGAAATCTGCTTGGCAGCGGAGGAAGTGCAAGGTCCGCTCGGGAAGTCTTCCTCCTCCCCGTGGTCTGGCTCCTCTGTGTCAGAGATCTGCTCTACAATCCTGCCCTTGACTGCCACCCCGCCACGGGAGCCCGTGTCACCCGACGGCCCGTCAGAGTCAGCCTCAGAGCCAAATATATTGTCTACCCTGTAAGGGGTGAAACGACGGACAGTTTGAAAGGTCTGAACCTTTGGGCTTTCAATGGAAATGGTCCTGGTGATATTGGTCAGTGGGATCCCTGAGCCAAGCCTTTCAGGACTGCTGCTCGCTGAACTCGAGTCCGAGCCTGTGGGCTCGAAGGGATCGTATATTTCACTTTTGACCTGCTTTTTCTTCACTGAGAAAAGAGGTGAGGGACTCTCTTTCTGTTGCACCGTGTCATCCACGGGGCGGAAGGTGTTACAAAACCCTGGGTGAGACAGTCTGCTGGGCTGCCCTGTGTTCCCAGGGATATTGATTTTAAAGCTCTCGAAAGAGCTGGGGCCTTTGCTCCTGGAAGAGCCTGGCAGCGAGGAGCTGCCGCACGAGCTCGTGTGGGCAGCAAAAGATGTCCCACTTGTACGTGTCTGTTGCTGAGACTCCTTGGTGTTCGACTTCTGACTCTCCACCCTGCCACCCCCCTTCCCTGGCTGGCTGGTGCTCTCCCTGCCCGTCAGCTGGGTTACACAGGAGCTGGGGATGTCACAGCTTTGGCTTCCCGTGGGTTCTGGCTCCACCTGCTTGCTGCTGGGCTCCTTTTTAATCTTTGGTATCCTGGGAAGCTCAAAGATGTCTATTCTCTTGAGAGGTGGTTTTAATGGTTGCCTCACAGTCACAGCTTTAGAGCCAGAATTCATATTGCAGCTCAGGGGCTTTAAAGGTGAGTCCGTGGGTGCAAAGTTTTTCGAGTTTCCATTAAATCTGGGCACTGGCTCTGGCCTGGAGCCGTGCCTGCTCAGCGCAGCTGTACTCTGAGTCTGAACAGACCTGGGGGTCATCGAGCACTCCGGCTTGGCCGTCGCCTGTTCCGAGGTTGGCTGTGCAGGGCTTGCTGTGGGCTGGGCCCTGTGCAGCGAGGGGGAAGGTGCCCTGCCACCCGCTCTGGGGGGAGCTCTGGGGGGAGCTCCGGGGGGAGCGCTCGGCCCCGAGGCGACGGGAGGTCCAGCACTGGAGCTGCCTGCTGTGGTCCCTGAGTGCGCTGCTGGACTCGGCTGGGGGCTCCGCCCCGACCCGTCCTCCGCTCTCGAGTCCTTCCCTGATTTCCTGTGCAGTGGGGCTGTGGCACACAAGAAACAATTCAGCTTTTCAAAACATATCTGGACATTTCCCCCCGGTGTTAAAAGAGGTACAGAGTTAATTATTTTCAGTGCCCCTTTGGTGTGCAGACACCACACAGTAATAAGGCAATGCAATGGTTCTCTAGGTCAAGGTTTGGTGCCAGACTACTGCAGCTTTGAGGTGAACACTAATGTTTAGGAAAGAAATTATTCCATCCTGCAGATGACCAGATTCATGTTTATTACCCTGCAGTCACTCATAAAAATGACTCTAACAGAGCATGCTATAGCTACTTAGTTTTAAAATCGAGCTGTAAGCTTCAATTTGAGGAGATTCTTTTCAAATAAGCCATGCCAAGGGAAGACACAGCTGCAGATGCTGCCGTGTACCCGGAGCTCTACTTCTGCAAAGGAACTTCTTGCCAAGGTTCTCATCACTGCTCCTCAGAGTGCAGTTCACAGGCATGGCAGCAGTGCATGACAAATGCCAGAAGAACTGGGGACTGAGGTATCCCTGCTCTAGCCACTCCTCTGGGTTTTTTTGTAACAAAGCCTGGGATTACAGGTGCAGTACTTTTGAAAGATGAAGACTACCTATCAGAACTAAAATCCTCCAGTAACATCTCAGCTCTGCAATTAGAACAGAGACAAATAATGCTATCCCAGAGCACACGTAAGGATTTTCCTGCTGGCACATACTGCATCTATCCCACCTGGCCAGCTGTACCCCTGTGTTTGAAGCTAAGCAGGCTGCAGGAGCAGGGCAGAGGTGGATGGAACAGGGTAACTGCACTATGAGTGGCACACCCTTACCTGCCCTCTTGGCCGTCAGCGAGCCGTCTCTGTTGATGACCACATCTGAACTGCTCATCATGAGCAAGCTCTGCCCAGACAGGATACTTCCCAACAGGTCAGGCACAGGGGCAGCTTCTGCTTCTTGGTCGGGACTCAAGGCAGGTACACTGCTTCTGCATGTTTCAGAGGGGTTACATTTCCTTTACTCTTACAGCACTTGTTCTATACACACACGTTACATTAAAAAGAAACCAAAACCAAGGGCATAAACAGAGGTCAGCCAGGGAAGTCCACTCGCAGTTTTGGCTTTACTAGTCATTCAGCCCCCATCTCCCTCTGACAAACAGAAGGTGAAGCTTTTACAGACTTCCCACAAGAACAGGACAGGAGAGCACGTGGTCACACCAGAGACCTCTAGTAAGCAATTGCTTTTAATCTTATTTAAGAGTGGTGCTTGCTGTGCTGTGTACCAAGATTAACTTTCCAGTGCATTTAAGATGTATTTTTGAAGTGTAAACCATTGTTTGTCACTCCAGAGATACCTCCATCCCAGCTGCCTCTCTTCCCCCCTCCAAATCACGATCACAAATGTATTCCTCTGCCCTGCACTGCTCCCTGAACACAACAATGCAGCCTGAACCAGTGTTTAGCACCAGTCAGCATACACGTAAGAGCACGGCAGAGGAGGAATGACACTGAAACCCAGCAGCAATGCTCCCATGCATGGGACAACACAAACATGCCCCTTTCTGTGCTATTCAGTCTTATAAAAACTGGTTTAACAAAGTTTTCTGTTTTTGAAATACAGACTGAAAAGGTTTGAGTGATTTTGGTATTGGGGTGTGGTTTTTGTTTACTTTCTCTTTGCTTTTGTGGGGGCTTGGTGGGGGTTTTCTGTTTGTTTGTTTTTTTAAAAAAAACCCAAAACTTCAAAAGGGAGCATTAGATCCAGCTCTTGGAGGAGCTACGTTTCATTCCTGTATGACAACAGAGCAAGCTTTCCACACACAACACACACCAAAACCTGGAATGACATAGGACAGAAAGACAAAATGGGAAGGTTAAAAGAATGGGCTGCTCAGGCCAGACCAGGAAACTCACTGTGGTCCAGGCAAACCAAACCTTTAGAATTTCAGCTAAACAGTTCTACCTTCTATACAATGTGCTACTCAAATAACTTGGACAACGTGGAAAGCTTCCTGAAAGGCTTCCCTCAGGACTGAGATGGGAAAGGTGGAGAAATATTCCAAGTTATCACAGAAATATACTATCTTAATCCTGAGAAACCAACCTTTGCTGTAAGCCAGATGCATTAGAGGGCAGCCATGTAAACCCCTCCTGCCTTTAACGACTTAAACTGAGCTCCTTCCACTTCTAGTCTTCAGCTCCCTCAGCCTTGACTGAGGTTGGCACCTGCCTCAGTCCTTTTCCTCATCCCTTTTCTCATCGTGCTCCTGCTCTGTGTGCCCCCCAGCCCAGAACACCCCCAGGGCTGCCAGTGGGAGGGCACAGGATGTCTGCCAGGCAGCAAAGCAACTCCTACACTGCAGCATCAAAGTCTCCTCTTCATTTCCTGAGCTCCAGCAAAGGGCAGAGGAACTGGGTGAGGTGGGCACATCCCAAAGCTCCTCCTCTGGATATGAAATTAGATTCCCCAGCCCTCTCAAATAAGCAAGTGGATTTTTAAAGGTTAGTGAGACTGAGATTTAAAACATACTAACAGGGTTACTACACAATCCCCAAATAGAAAGCAAGAAGAGACAGACCAGGGGGGAAATACCCATTTGAAATTTCAGTGCCATAGTTACAGCTACTATGAAAGAATGTGTCCATCAACATAAAAAACAGAATTCTTGCACAAAATGCTATGGTTATTTATCTACACACATGCAGGCACACACACACACTCTTCCAAAACACTCAGAGCATGCAAAGAATTAAACAGGGGTGATCACCCAGTTTGCTCTTTTGTTAGTGCCATTAGACAATTAAGAAATGTAAAATAAATAACTTGGTGGATTTTTACCTGGGAAGTCCCACAGAAATAGGTCTAGCCACGGGACGGTGAGACCTCAGTGCTGACTGGGAGAGAACTCTCCTTTTGGCACTCACTGGTGAATCTGGATTTGCTGGAACCTCTTCATTACTGTGGGTAAAACAAGTGCACAAACCCTGAAACTGTCTGAATGTTTTTCACATCAAACAGGTGACACAGATAATACTCCTATGACAGATGGGCTTAGACAGCATCATTTGTTTTACTACTATACATTAAAAAAACCTTTCTGCAATACACTTATTTTCTGTGGCTGCATAAACAGAACAGTGTAACTCAGGCAGCAGAGACTCAAACGTCAGTTTTGATTTTTAAAATATTAAATGGATAATTTTTTATGAAAGGATCAAAAAGACTTATTCAGGGGAAAATTAAATTTCACCAACCACCACTTCAGAAGGCCCCTCCCCAAAATCCAAACCACAAGAATGACACAAACTAT